ACGTAATTGAGCAAATGGGAACATTTTGCATGTAAAGCTTCAGGTTTATTTAGGGATGGGGTAAACGATGAGGTTGTGTGCTCGTTGATAGTTCCAACAGAAGTTTATCAATTCATAATTCACTGTGAATATCACTTTAAAAGTTTCCACTCTCCTGGTCCTGAGTTCTTAGGAAGAAACATCCATGTACGTACTCCTATGATTTCCTCATTTGATCCTAGGAACATTTTTGTGTAGGTGCTGTAGGTGATTGCTTTCCTCCCTAGCCCACTGAAACATGATTTAGATTTAAAAGACAGAAGGAAATGAGTAAGTAAGTAATTGAAGATGAGAGAAAGAGATTGCTGTCTGTGGTGTTAGCTTTGTAGACAGATTGTTCCGTTCTCTGGAGAAAAAAATTTGACCAGTTTTGAGAAGGTTCATTTTAGAATGATGCCACTTAAATTGGACTCTTCAGATGTTCTGAAGTTCTTCTATCATCAGTTCTTTTACAGTCCTGATTCTTCCCTGGAAACTTCTGTAGTGCTTTTGTCATGCCAACCTACAGAATTGAGGCATGCAGAATAGGGTTTCACCTGGACTGCTTTGGGGTTGGAAAAACAGCTTTTACTGGGTCTAGCACCTACTCCAGCCTGCTTTCAGGACAAACTGGCATGACTGCACAACTGATTTACGTAGCTGCATATAGCACCAGTGCAAAATCTGTGATAAGCTGTCAATGTCTGTCAAGACAGAAATAAATTTGTATCTTAATAGCCTGGGAATGCAGGGAAATAAATGGTTTCTGTGCTTCAGCATATTCACGTGGAATTCATTGTTAGGAATAATATACAGAATGAGCACTACTTATTCCATTAGCAGTTACAGACAGTACACCATTACTGTGGTTAGGCATCTTGGTGTGAGGACACATTCTTATGACTGAAATCTATATGTCCCTCAGAGATTGCTGAGGAAGCCAAAAGTAAGACAGTGGAGCAATTCAGGACAGAGAAGAAAGCTTTACACTGCTAGGACTGCATGAGAATGCTAGGTTGTCTGAGTATAATTACCGCACTGGGATTTAGCCAGAAAAGCTGTCATCTTTTGAAACATGCCACGTGATTTATTTTTTATTAATGGCATAAGCAGACATGTTTTTGGGCCTACATCTTATCCTAAAGAATAAATTTTTGTTCCCACAGTATCCTATTAAGTTGGTTAACAAATTCTTGATGCTTTTGGTATGTTAACATGTACAGCGTAAGAATGTAAACTGTTAAATGCTGCTCAGATTCTGAAGCTGAAAGATGCATAGGTATTGCTCAGCCTAGTGGGAAAAAAATGAAAAATTATCTGGAAAACTGAAGGAACCAAATCTGTTTAATTTTTATTTCTTACTCTTCGCTTTTTATAAAAAGAAAAATTTCATAGATTTTGTACTAAACATATGCAACTAATATGCCTGAAGCACTGTGTTTCATATATTTAATAAAGTATGTTGTAGGTGGGGGTGTTTGCATACTTCTGAATTATTCACTACAGCATTTTAGATAATTTAGCTTTGTATCCCATTTCTAAACCCACTCTCAGTAAGTTAATACTTCAACCATAAACATTCATAATGTTGAGAAAAGGATGATTTTGGGGAGAGGGAGGAAGAAGGAAGGGAATAAAGTGTCTGACATTCCTTTTGAAATTGAAGAATAATTGAAGAGAATGTACTGTTTCACACGTGCCAGAGATTGTGTATCCTTACCTATTGTCTGCTGGAGTATCTCCAGATGGAACAGAGCTGAAGATCAAGGCCTAGTTATCCTAGGATCCAAAGTGACAGAAACTTTTGAAACAAACAAGTGAAAATAGCTGGGTTTATAGGCTTAACTTGGAGATAAAGTAAGTGGTGGAGAGATAGCTTTTCTGATTGGACATAGAACTATAGTGATGATAAGAGACAAAATGAGTCATCCTTACTAAATGTGGTGAGATTTCTCATGCCATTGTTGGTTTTTTTGACGTAGAATGTGATGAATCACAGAATCACATGGTCATGAAGGTTGGAAAAGACCTCTGAGATCATTGAGTCCAACCTCTGACCTAACACCACCATGTCAACTAGACAGTGACATTAAGTGCCATATCCAATCTTTTCTTAAACACTTCTAGGGATGGTGACTCCACCACTTCCCTGGGCAGCCCATTCCAATGTCTGTAAAGAAATTCTTCCTAATGTCTTACCTAAAGTTCTCCTGGCACAACTTAAGACTATGTCCTCTCATCTTTTCACTTGTTACCTGGGAGAAAAGGCCAAACCCCATCTGGCTACAGCCTCCTTTCAGGTAGTTGTAAACAGCAATAAGGTCACCCCTGAGCTATCTCTTTTCCAGACCAAACAACCCCAGCTCCCTCAGCCTCTCCTCATAGGACTTGTGCTCCAGACCCTTTGCCAGCTTCGTTGCCCTTCTCCGAACACTCTCCAGGACCTCAATGTCCTTCTTGAAGTGAGGGGCCCAGAACTGGAGAGAACTATTCAAGCAACAGTAGGTCATCCTTTTTATTTCTGTGTCGTGCTTCAATTTTAACATTGTAAATACCAGTGAAATGAGTAGTAGTATTTTAATAGCTGGAGAAAAGTAGATGCATTTTTGCTTCCCAGGTATTTATCCAAGTATACCCTACCTGTGCTATAACATGGGAGCCAAGAGGGTATGCTCAGCCCTATGCTGAAGTTCTGCTTGCAGAAGGCATTGTAAAACTGGTGCTGTAGGCTTACCTGTTGTCTGGTGCTTTCTGGGGTTCCCAACAGCTTTCCCAAGGAAATATACCTCATGACACAGCTAAGTATCAAGTGGTGTTTGCCAGGATTTGTACTTTATGGTCAAAATGAATGTAGTTTCAAATGCATAGAAGGACCTGCTAAGATATTCATGCTGAGTTTGGAGTGGGAGTGAGGAGTTGGGGCGATGGGGATTTGTGTGTCTGCCAGACACAGCTGCTCTTAAAACAAGCTTTTTGGATTGCTTGAAAATTATAGGAAGGGAAGTTTTCTGCTCCCAGAAGCTGAAGTCTCTTGGCTTTGTGATGTGTATGAAGCAGTTTTGTACTGATTTTAAGTGTTCTGAATGATAAATGCATCAATGTGGAAGATGAAAGGTTGAATTGGGGAAATAACGATGAAGCACTTTTGTCCATCATTAGATGAACAGATGAAAGTGGGCAAAAAAATAAATTTATAAAGAGGTGTTTTTGGCAAACACACCTCAGCAAGCCATTGGTTTCCCGCTCTAGATTGCTACTACCCTTCTAAAATGCATACTGCATAGATATTTTCATTTAAAATCTAGGATTCCAGACATCCTCTTGATTCCTATTGCAAAATAATGAGGCTATGATTGTTTTGCTTGTACGCTGGTTCTCCTAAGCTGGAAATGTGCAATCAACAGGTTGTGCATGCCATCTTCAGCCTAATATCTTTGTCTATTTTTGAAGTTGCAACAAGCATCTTAATGTGTGATTTTTGCTTTCTACTATTTCTAATCTTATATGTGACAATGAATTATTGACTGGCTAAAATCAACCTATGATACATCTAAAGATAAAATGGGCAAGACAATGGAATCTCACATTTCTACCACTTTATGGCCTGACAGACTCAACAGAAGGTAGAGTAGTAAAACCCATACTTTTGTCAGTGAAGTGGGTGGATCAGACCCTGAGTACACTGCAGAAACAGATTAATGGAAGAAATCTGTGCTGATCTTTGCCAGTTTTTGGGTAGTAAATGCACTTTTAAAGTCTTTGTCAGCACAGTCTTGCAGAAAAGAAATGCCATTGCAGAGCAGCTAGGGAACTCTTTCTGTGTCAGGCTAAGTGGAGCAGGAGACATTCCAAAGGTGATAGTGATAAAAGAGCATAGCAGAAGAGAGATATTTTTCATGGAGACATACTCCTGGGTCTGTGTATTTCTGAGTAGCTTCAGTGGTGTAGCCAGGCAAATGTTCATGTCCAAACCATGAACTACATAAAATTTACAGAAATATACATTTAATTCCATCCAATCAAAAGATCAGCAGAGTTAATCAATGTTTTGAGCAAATACAATTTTTCATGTACTGTGTGAAACCAAACATTTAAAATATGTAGGTACATGTGTAAATGAAAGAGTTCTGGTTATCTTTGGTATGTTCATTCACTAATTCCATAGTTGAAATCCATAGATTCAGAATGTAACAAAAAATACACGTTAATTCCACAAGGCAAATCTGCTGAATTTCATACACTTTTGTCTCAGGCCCTTTATGTTCAGGAGTCCACAAGATCCAGTAGACTTGATATAGCTTTTGAATCTAGTGGAGTTTTCTGTCTTGTTTTCGTGGCTATTTGAAATCCATAGCAGTTGTGTAAATAAGTGTTTGGGTGGCTGTTTGAGCATATATATATACACATACACACACATATGCATTGTCATGTGCGCATACACTTTTGTCTCAGGCCCTTTATGTTCAGGAGTCCACAAGATCCAGTAGACTTGATATAGCTTTTGAATCTAGTGGAGTTTTCTGTCTTGTTTTCGTGGCTATTTGAAATCCATAGCAGTTGTGTAAATAAGTGTTTGGGTGGCTGTTTGAGCATATATATATACACATACACACACATATGCATTGTCATGTGCGTAGTGCTTGATACATATATACACACACACACACATATGCATTGTCATGTGAATAGTGCTTGTAGTCTATATTACCACCAAGTTGGTTTGTAGATACCTGCTTCTAAAGCACTCAACTTTTGGGAAACTTCATTCCATAGCTACAGAAATGAATGAATAACATGCGAACCAAATGTTTCCATTTGGTTTTCAAGTTCTTTGAGTTGTGGACCATTTTCATGTTAAGACTTTTCTGTTCAGCAAAAAGAGCTCTTTTTTGACACTGCATGTTAACATGGTTCTCATCACTGGGGGAGCTGATAGCTTTTGTAAAGGTGCTAATTGAGTGATCGTGCTATCTTTTTTACAGAATCATGTAAACCCAGCAATGGATTTTACGCAGACCCCTCCAGGAATGTTAGCCCTTGACAACATGTTGTACTTTGCTAAACATCACCAGGATGCTTATATACGGGTAAGGCTTCTTCTTGTTGAGATCTTTGCAGCTGCTTATTCACAGTGATTATGTCCTGTTTATAGGTGACTTTGAAGTGAAGAGGAGGTTCAAAATCCTGATATCATTGGCAACAAACTCTAGGAAGGCAAACCACGTGATGCTAAAACATAAGTCTGTAGAAGCTTTGGGAGAAAGCTGTGCAGGTGTCTAGTCTGTCATTGCTGAATCAAGTGTTATAGATATTACTTTTCACAAATAACTACCTTTGCTTAGGTCTGCAAAGAGAAGGGAAATGAGCTTGTGCCTTTGTCAGATGCATGATGGATGACCATAAGCTCAGAAATGAGTAATTGTGCAGAATTCTCTGACCTACCCTAAGTCTACCAGAACCTGTCAGGGTTTTTTGTGAAAAGGAGGCTTTGGTAAGCAAATGCCTTCATAGGTGACTGAGTTGATCTGAGTGTCCTGAGAGTTAAGAAGTTTCCACTAAAACTACAGCTGTAGGGGAGGTCATGCTCGGAGTAAAATATGCAAAAAGCATCATGATTCACTTGCATGACCTGTCCTGCCCCCTGCCCACTCCATTTCTACATTTGTTATTTCAGGGGGTAGTTAGAGCAAGTTCAGTGTTGCATCCTTACAAGAAGAGGCATATAGCTGAGTAATACCTGCTTCTGAAGAGAACAACTTTTCCTAAATGTTATTGAAATCAAGTCTTTGCCAAGCATAAACCTCAGAACCATAGATGGGAGTAGGGGATGGTCCAGAAAGTCAGCGTCTGGAGATAGTAGGTATGGTTTACTCCCCAGGAAAGTGTACACGTGCAGACCTCCGTAAAGAAGGTTGTGTGTACCAAGGGGATGATAGACACACCAGTCATTTCCAGAAAAAAAAGGTGAAGAATGAGGTTTTAATATGCATCATCATCTGGTTTTTGTTCAAAGTAGATTGGTGTCAAAGCTCTATTAGGCTCCTGCCAATATCCACAGACATATTAGGAGACCACAAGATTGTAAAATTTGCTCTTTAAATATATCTTTCCCCTCCGTCTGAATCTATCAGTAACTCTTAAGAGACATAGTAGGCAATACAGCAATATTTAAGGAGTACAGAAATTCTGTTGAAATAGAGCTTTCATTGACACCTCTCAATTTTTTCTTATTTTTCATTTTCACATTCCAAATGCTATCTTAAAAAATTGGGTTCAGTGTAGCATCTAAGTAACCACTCTTTAGAAAGGACTTGGTTGCTTCTCAGCGCTGAAGTGTTTTTGCTGTTGCATTACTGGGGTTCTTTTTGTTGTTTTGAGATGCTTGTTTTTATTCTTGTATGGTTCCTCTTAGGAGAGTGCCTGAGTGTCTCATGTATTTTCTGCCTGAGAAAGAATTCATGTACACTAGAAATGTCATGCTGAGGCACGCTCAGATTCAATCACTTGCTCAAAGCTGTTTTGGGACCTGTAAGTGTGCTTTGGGAGTAGATTAGCCTACCCATTGCTCCTGAGGAGTTCTACTTAGTGCTTATACCAGCGCTGCTGGCGCAATATGAACACCTCTGAGGTGAATGGTGTTGAGCGACTCATACGGCATTAGTAGTCTTTGATTGCAAAAGACACCTACTTTCTACCTTTTCATCTCCTTGACTACTAGGTGGTGTACAGTAGTTCCCTGTGGGCTCTGACATGCCTGTTTCCTTCTCATTTTGAGTTCCTTTTTGCACATCTAACGTCGCCTTTTCTTCAGGGCCTTTGGCTCTCAAAGGTCCCACAACACCAGTTTGCTCTACTAGTACAGTTGGTTGACCTTGCTTGTTTTTTAGTTATATTTCTACTCCTGTACCCTGACAGAATTTATCTCTTCGTGTGGTCAAGCATAAGTTTCCACAAGTACTACTTGCATACTGAACAACTTGTTTGATGTGAGCGCTTCGCTTTTTTTTCATTGTTGATACTAGGAAATATTTTGGTTCCTAGGAGGAGAGATCATTTTCCACTTGACCCTTTGCAATACAGTTGATTGCTGTGCCATGGGTTAATTCCGAAGTCCCAAAATGAGATATCTCTCCCATGCAGTAATTAGAAATTGAGGCTGAAAAGCAGAGTTGGTTTGAAATGAACTTGGAATAGATGAAGTTTTCCCTGACACAACGTGGTGTATTAAGCAAAGATATTATCAGGAAGTCATAATGGTTTCACTGAGTGTATTGGCAGTGCTGCATTTTAATGTGCAGCACAATTCCCTGTTGTCTGACCTGCCACTTTCTTAGGATGCCCCAGCTGCATGACCCTTAGTTAGGTTATCTTCTTGTATTAATGAAAATAATGGATAAGCAGAAGTTAGAAGAGAATACAGTCAATAAGTAATCTCTTCCCTTTTCATTCCTTGTTCTGCCTCTCATAAGTGATTCTGCTTAGAAGTAATTTGCGTAATAAATGGATTAGTTAGGTGGCAAGGATGTCTGAAACTGAAGTGCCTGTCACTATGTGGTAGTGGGGCTTCAAAGACCAGTAGCAAACTAAAGTACTCATAGGAAGAGGAAATACAATTGCAGTGTGTTGAAGAACATGGGTGTGAATGCAGTGGAGCAGATGGATAACTCTGCATCTTGAAGCCAGAAGGCATATCAACATGAAAACATGGGTGTCATATGGTGAAGGAGGAAACAAAAATAACCAAACTTTTTTCCTGTCTTATTATTTTTTACCTGCTTCCCCACAAGCTACTTCTCTCATTCACGTTTTTCCTGGTGCATACTTATTTCTGAAATTACAGTAATGTATGTTCTTTACTTGTTGTCTTCCTTCAGAAAAACTCAGTCTTTATATAGACTTTGAGTTAATGGATTTTGAATCTCAGGTTTTTTGTTGCTATACAATATGACTGGAGCCTCCAGAAGAAAGGTTGTTTAGTGAAAGGGAAAAAAACAAACATGTTTTCTTTGACTGTGTGTTATCCTTAGCTATCATTTGGATTTTAAAAAACATTTCCTATTGAATTAGTTTCCTGTTGAGTTAGCTTCTCTTTCTTTCTTTTTTTTTTTTTTTAAATTAATTCTCTGGTGCTATTAGTGAGTAATATGCACTAGTTTTTTTTATGTTCCACTTAAATAATCAATCACTAGCATCAGAGGCTTTACTTTTAAAAGATGATGACATGGTACATGGAATGCATTGATGGAAGTAGTGTTGAATCTCTGCAAGAAATTTTAACATTTTCCTCAGGAAGTAATTGGCAGCTTCCCAAGCTCTGTAATTATAGGACAGTCAGTGTGTATAATTAAAGTTAGGAGTGAAGAAAATGATTGGAATAAAGCTTTGTGACAGATAAATTTTTTTTGTTCTTTTGGAGCAGACAAGTCATGCATATCCTCTGGTGCAATTTTCTCCTTTCCAAAACTACTCCAGCATCAGGTTCTACTAATTTTAAAAATAAAATTACCAGTTAGCATTTAAAACAGACTTTATTCAGTACAGACATCTTGAGATTTTTTTTACTGGTAACTTGTAGCAGTGTGCCTTCGAAAGTTTTCTGAGTGTAAAGAGGGTCTGAGGGAAAACCTTTCCATGGAAGTGCTATTATGCCAACATTGCTATTACCACCTTCATTTATTGATGCTTTGTCATTGATTTGTTTGAGATTTTGTCATGCATGACTATTCAGATCCACTTTGTTTTCAAGATACCAAGAAGAGAGAGGGGTATAACTATATGAAACTGAAATATTTTATATGCATATATGTTTGCAGGTGTGTATTCATTTCCCTGGTTTTGTTTTTTGTACACATGTCCTTCAGTGATTGCTAATATTAATGTAAAATAATGTTATTTACCCAACTTGGTGTAAAGTGTAAGATAAAGAAACCAAACTGAGCACTCTTTTAATTTGTAACCCAAAAAGAAAAATTTGATAGTTGTTGTCCTGTATTTAAATGTGCCATATATATGCTTGGGATGCTTCTTTAGAAAAACTAGCTTTGCAGTTTTTATAAGTTGACCCCTATATGTTCAGTTAGTGTTCATTCAGGCATGCTTGATAGCAGGCAACAAAATCAAAGATACTGCTTCAGTTGGGAGTGGATTACAATTCAGCTTGGATCATTGCTAGTTTTAACAGTGTTTTCAGGCTGAAAGAGCAGGTGCCATTGGGTAAACTGGATTTACAGCAACTATACCTTAGCTTCTAATGCACTGCCATTGAAATATTCCCTTATTTTACACTTCCTCACAGGCATCTAACTATAGTGATAACCTTCTGGTATATATGGGAGAGAGTTTAGGATTTTGCTTAAAGGTTATTGGATTTTGCTTATAGGTTATTGTATTTTGCAAAAAGTCACCTGAGTCACAAAGAAGTCCTATATGGTGTTGTCTCTGGTGGCATCCGCATTTCTTACTCTAATGAATTTGCTTTTGATGGCTGACAAGCTGGTGACTTGTCTATATTTATCTTCTGCGTTTCCAACCAGCTATATTCTAGCCCAACTCACTGCTTCTTTGAGGTGACATTCTGCCTTGAGAAGACACATACTGTGTCTCATGGTTTTGTTTAAGCACAAGGGATTGGTGCTTCAGGCAGAAACTGCAAATAAAGTTGGCAGCTCTGGGTCTGAGCATTGGTTAGCCACCTATTTTGGATTCTTCCCAGCTGGTTGTCCAGGTGTATGCCGAATTTTTTGCCATTTATTAGATTAGTAGGCTCTTCATCTGTGTAGCAAAAAAAATAAATGTTCCTTGGAAAAATACCATTTTACTGTAGCCTGAAATTTAAGTCTCACCTGTAGAAGAGAAGGTTTATCCCTTTTCCCCACTGATTGTATCTATTTCATTCAAATATTTGGTAGCTATCAAATGTAATATTTTCCTTATATAATATTGTCACCAGGGTGGGAATGCAGGACTGAAATCCATGCTGAAAAGTTGAACCTATTAAACCCTTGGTATATTTTATAATGGATCCAGTGCTACTATATTTTGGTGAATGGTGTACAAGATATCTAGTGATATGCTCCTAGATTTTCTG